AGCATACACCCCATAAGCATGAAGCTTTTCTAGGATAAGCAGCTGAATAACCCTTTTAAAGCTCTGGTCATGCCTCAATCAGGCTTTAACTCTGGTAACAGTTAAAAAAAAAACATAAGAATATAAAAATATATCTTCCTACAGCAAATAACTAAGCGCTGCAGCAAAGATCTAATATTGTTAACTTTTTATTTTACCTTTTAGGGATGTTAATCAAAAAAGGAGTAAGCGAGCGATCAGTAAAGTAGAGAACTTTAGTAGAGACGACAGCGTCAAGACCCGGGCTACTGTGTGAGTGCGCCATTTCTGCAAAATGATGACACAAACTTTTTCAGACAGTAATGATTGTGGCCTCACAGCTGGTTATCCGTTCTCCATTCACAACAGTGTAATTGAAGGAGACAATTTGATTTAAGTAAGATGTTACTGGGGATTCCAAATGCTGAACAGAATACAAAGGTTTTGCTTGTCTCACTTGAGCTTGGTGGCCAGGAGTCACGGTCTGTTGAGTTGGCTCTGCGTCCTGGTGATTTAAATTCCTCCTGGAAGAAGAACCAATTACTCCTGGTAAACAGTTCCAACATTTCTAACATTTCAGAGTCACTGTGTGCATCTGTGAGTACCCGTCTTTCTTGTCTTCGCTGAGTGTCCAAGGAGTGGAGTCGGTCCATGAGGCTGGCAATACCCTGCTCTAAAGTGTCCAGGGTGTGATGCTGAGGGTCATGGCCTGAGAAACTGTCCCTCAGACTGCGCAGAGCTTCCCTGACGAGCTGGAGCTCTTCGCCCTGTGAAAAAAACAGCCTTGTAAGACTGGTAATGTGTATTTAGTTAAATTTAGTTCATTTACACCTGAGCCCTGACATGACCTATTCATCTTAAACATGTCTGTTCGGACAAAAATTGATATTTTTAAGTGACTTAGCCAAAGTCTGTGGCTAAAACTGATAGAGGATCTGTATAAAGCTTAGGGTGATGGCAAGGAGGCATTCCCATTTCAAAGACAAACCAATCAATAAATGCAAAAGGTTAGTCAGCAATTAGAAGAGGGGCTTCATTGCTGTAATCCCAAAAAAGATGTTTCATTTTATGATTGAGATAAGCATAAATAGCATAATGTTGTTTTTATTTCATTTTTTCATTGATACTTCTTTTCTGAATTCGAATACTTTTAACAATGTAAACCTGCCAGGGATACAACTAATGTTGGGCTTGACTGTATTTAGTATCAATGCACAAAAATGTAATCTCAAAGAGGGAATCAATTAAAAAAAAAAAAAATTTCAAACACCGTTCTAACAATTAAAAACACATACAATTAAATAAAATGTTGTTTTTTTTAGAAAATGCATGGGGTACTGTATCTAAGCTTAAGTTTAGCCTTTCTTTTATGTTCAATTTAATTACATTTAAAATACTGCATTCATCTCTAAAGGAATTTCAATTAAATAACTTATTAACCCCATTTTCTTCAAAGCAATATAGTAGCCGGTTAAAATCCACCATAAGTAAATATTTGTTATGGTGGATCTGAAGCAGCCTTTAACTAAACCCAACCTGTTTATTCAGTTTTATGAATAACTGGCTTTGATATTCCACCCTCCCCCTTCAAAGAGATAGCTTAAGCATCACCAACTGAACTTAAAATTTCTGTGTCACTAAAAACAAACTTTTATACATCAGTCTTGTATGAAAAAGAAAAAAATGTAAAAAAAAATGATACATACGGATGCATTGTGCTGAAACGTTGAAGGAGAAGTCGATGCCACTGAGTTACTAAAGCCACCATTTTCCCCCCTAAATGACTGGATACACGAATAAAGATAAAATAGTGAATTAATAAAAAGATTAACTTTAGTAAATGTAGATGTTTAAATACTCTCCTTTTCAATGCAATATTAAGGGCCTTTTTTTATGTTCTCCAACACACGGTGTAAATATTCTTCGTAATAAATCCTATCATATTTGTCTAAATGTTCCAGTAAACGACTGGCATATTTCTGGTTGGATATTTTAAAACTCTTTATTAGTAGCACTGGAGTGGCTAATTTAAACCGGTAAGGTTTTTCCATACTGCAGAGATCAGGAAACCGTTGGTAGAGCGATTCAGGAAGCAGAACATTGCTGTTGCATATATGTATTTGGATGTAAGGTTTAAAGTGATTTGTCGGCATAATTGTCCTACTGTAACATCCAAGTGTGTCCAATTATCTACCATCAGACCGGAACTGTCACCCTCACATGAAAGAAAACTGTTTGGACTAACAAGGACAAATTCTACTTACAACTATAACTCCAAAGATGCTGGAAGATCAAAAATACTTTCCTATATTTGGAGGGATGAGAATCTCTTAACCAGAGAACGCATGGAAGAGATAGCATCATAGTGAGCGGCTATTTCATTGCTGGTGTATTGTAAAAAGTGGAGGGTATAATAAAAAACAAGGTTGTCCTTCAAATCTTTCACTTCACCCCAAATCTAAAAATAAACAGGATATATATCTTAACCACGCATCACTGTTTTAGGAATGGATGAAGTGGGATAAAATAAAGCTCTTAGAATGGAACTGGCATTTTATTGAAAATCTTGTGGACTACTGCAAACCCAAGGCAATGCAAGAAAACCAGTTCTGTTTTGCTCCTAATAAAAAGAGCTTGAATATCCATCCAGAAATGTTTTGGAAGCTCGTTGGAAAAAAAAAAAAATCTGCGTAATGATGAGTTGGTAATAAACAAATAGCCAATATTTAATATTATAGGTTTTTTATGCATTTTACCACCTGTTTGTGAATTTAAGACTCAATAAAATCCGCAGTAATTCAAGTTAAGCACTAAATGTCATTGTCATTGAAATTACATTGGCATTCCATACTCAAAAACAGCAAAATAAAAAAAATATTAAATGACTAAACTGGGAATGTATTCATCCCAATGACATGTTTATGTAAACCTCTGATGTTAATAGTAGGTAAACACTGCTAAAGAAGCATCTTTCTCCAACTAAAAGCTTTCTTCTTGTCAAAACCTTTTCTAAACACATTAGTGACTCAGTTTGTTGTGCAACATGTTACATTTAAAATCACAATAAATACGCCTACTCAAGAATTTCTGTAGATTTAGTATTTTTCACAATCTTGCTCAAAAAAAAAAAAAACTTGTTGTATATGTTGGTGTATGTAGCCTACAATGCTGAACTTGAAGAAAAATAGCCTTGTTTTTCAGCGCATGGGGCTGTTTAAATGCATCAGTGGTTATGTTGCATCAAGTGATTTGTTGATATGATAAGAATAATGTTGGCCCCCTCATGTGAAAAGTAGCCGTGCTTTGAAGAAAGGCTCTCTGATTATTGTTACATTTATTCATATTGAGGCAATGATTGCGCTGCTGTAATGCTATAACCATGTAATGCTCTGTACCCGTCCGTGGCCGACTTCATGTGCTTTATGCTGAGCTTCATCAAGCTTCTGATGCTGCAGCAATCTGTCCTTCTTCCCCAGCTGCTGCTGCTTTGACAAAACAGACAGTTGAAATATAGAACCAAGTGTTGACCCGTGCATGTGTTATAAAAACAAAAAAAAAACACACATTTCAATGTAAATAATGAAAGGCTTACCTTATATTCAGTGAGTAATTTGTTCCTTTCACTCAGCTTGCGTTTGAGCTCTTCCTGGAGGGAGGCAAAGTGGGATAGGGTTAGCTCTATGAATATAATATTTCTTTCACGTATACCAGACTCCTAGAAAGAAATGTTTTTAAGTCAAGAAGGAAATCATGTCTTGTCTCACATTTTCTCCTTCTAACTGATCTTTGGCCATGTTGCACCTCAGTAGTTCCTGCTTAAGCTGCAGCACAGCATCCTCCTGCACTGACAGGCGCTGCTGCAGGGCATCCTAATGAGAAAGATGGGAAGATCAAAGAGGTCACCACACAAAGGCAGGCCAATCGTATCCATCTCATCAACCCTAAGCACTGTTTTTCACTTTATTATTAATGAATTAAAACTAATTGTGTACGTGTTTAGATCCGACAAACTAGTGAAAAGTGATTGGAATCAATCTAAATCTTAAGTTAAATAAAAATCTATTCTGACGATAAGAGAATAATTTCCTCTATATTTTTTGTCTTATCTTTACATAATGTAAAATGTAGCATATTTTTTTCCTCTGTGTAGAGAAATAGTTTGTCCCTTTTACTAACTTCATTAGTTTTCCTGTTTTTCTTATTAACATTTGTCAACAAATTTCAATCAGACAAACATAACCTAAGTAAACACAGGAGGCAGCTTTCATTTCATAAGTGGATTTATTTGTTAAAAGCTGAATTGATTGCAAATTTGAAAAACATAAGCTTCCCATATGCTGAATCATGTTTAAGTGTGATTAACTTTGCAAAGGGTTGAAGACAAATTAACTAGCCACCAGTTTTCAGGCCACATGTTGGCCTGAAAACAATTGAATTGAATCTACGCATTAACATAAAGTAGGCCTAAAGTTCTCAAAACCATTGGAAAGAGTTTAATTTAAAGAAATTAAGACAAATGGGAAACAAAGTCACTGACCACTGAATCACCAGCCCAGAAATGGTTAAAAAGCCAATTCTTCAGAGCCAGAGTGAAAAAAAACAAACACAGAAAACATGAAACAGTGATAAACCTTTTCAACAACAGTAAACCTACCTCATTACATTACTGCAACTGCCTGCTGTAAATACTGGAACCATACATTTTCATCACTGGTAGTAAACTGAAGGGTTTTAAATTCTAGCTCATTGAGTTATGTAGCAACAAATCCCCTCCGAATGGCTAAAAAACATAAAATGGTTTATGAAATGATGCGGTCCAGGTCTTGACAAACAGCCGCAACAATGGCAAAACTAAAAACACCCTTAAATGGTCATTAATGTTCAAAATACTCAACTGTGGATGAATTAAAAGAAAAAAGTGAGCCAAGATGAAAAAGACGGCATAACCAGTTATAGGTTTTAGGTGGCAATTACTTTTAACTTATCTTCAGGTTGTATGGATAATGTTTTTCTCTGAGTAAATGAAATTGCCTTTTTTTTAAAGAATGTTTTTGTCTAACATTTAATTTAGTTAGCGGGTCTAAAGCATTTAAGTAAAATGTTAAATGAAAAGACATTTGATCCCAATGATCTTTGCAAACTTCATTATATCAGATCCCACAGGCAGATTATTAGAGTTATTTATTTTTATTTTGTATGTAAAGAAACCCAATGGATTGCATCTAGCTCGTGAATTGAAGCATTTATTTCTCCTGCATGAGCATTTAGTGACAAGTGCCTACATTGTGTTGTATACTTTGCAGCAATCCCTTATACCAAGCAAGCGTTAAGTGACAGTGGAAAGTAAAATTCCCCTCAACAGGAAGAAACCTCCAACAGAACCAGGCTGAATGGGAATGGCCTTTTGCGAAGACTGACTGGGAAATTTAATAAATGTTCAATAAAGTAGAAGAAATCTGTAAAGGGACAAACACTTTTTCATTACATGGTATCTGTTATAAACAAATAGAAATAGGGCTTTAAAGAGAACTAGATATATGTCCTTCTCACGGTTATTATCATTAACTTAAACTAACAAAATGAGGAAAACTAAAATTTTTAAAAATAAAACTAAAAACTAGGACTCATAAAAACACGAAAACGAACTAAAACCGTAAAACAAAGTTGACTAAAATAATGAAAACTAACTCATTTTAAGAGAGAATTTCGTCTGTGTTTGTTTGTGTCTTTATCATTATGCATTAATGAGGTCAAGTGTCCTGTTGATGCTTTTGCTTTTCGCAGATAGTAGGTATAGGACAATCATGTGACTTTTTTTTCTGCAGAGGTCTGTTCCTATTTAGGTTTTATTCTTATTATCTTTCTTTAAAGTCTCTCCCTCCGATACCTAAGTCGTATTACATAAAAGAATTAAACTATAACTGAAACTAATTAAAACTAAAACTAAGCATTTTCCGAAAATCCTTACTAGAGTATCTCTTTGTGTGCATGATCAAAAACTACTAAATCCTCAGATTTATACCATACAAAATTAAATAAATCGACTTATGCTCTGTAATCCGTTTTAGTCTCATAAGTAAAAAGCTGAACTAAGAGATTTACCTTGATGGCCTGAATATGTCTTGTCTCCTGTTTGTGCCTCAGGAGCTCCCTCTGTGAGCCACACACATGAACACACTCATTAAAGAAAAAAAGCTCATCTATATTAATTCCAATTACGTTTACTCACTGTACCTTCAGATCAAGGGCTTCTTCCATGCTTTGGTCCAGACGACTGCGGATTAGAACCTTCAAAGGAAGAGTCCATGGGCACGATAATTAGAGAACGGAAAAATGTCAGAACGCATGAAGAGGCAATAAAAACGCGTGACAGCGGGCTAGCAGATCAGAGAGAATTAATCGGCACTCTCCAGCAGCTGCCCTGAAGGGAGTGACGGGTGCAAACATCATCACAGGAGAAGGCCTGACATGGACACTTCACACAAGATTGTTGACCAAGTGATGCCTTCTCAAGTTAGAAGAGCTGTACCATACCAGCTGCTGCTCCGTGGTTGCTCTGTTGTCTCCAAAGCTCCCCGATCCGTCCTGGTCCTCCTCAGGTAGGGAGCCTTGCAACAGAAGACCCTGAAGGTGAAAGCACACAAGAAGCTCAAAAGAACATAAGCACTTAGAAAAAAAAGTATAAAGTTCAAATTTGATGAGTAGATAATAAGCCCTCAAAGTCAGTTTTGGCTCATTTCTGGGATTTACATTTGCTGAGGACACATTAATGTATATAGTTGGAAATAGATGAGAAACCCATAACAAGTATGGGTCTGTAATGAACCCTCTTTACTCTTACACTTTTACATAAAATTGAATGATATGCATAAATGAATAAAAAACAACAATTGACCAAATTAGTAAACATACTGCGTAAGTGTAATTCAGTTTTAGACTGCCAGGAAAGGGGAGATTTTTCAGAGAATAATGCTTTCAGAACTGAGGTGGGATATTCTGCTGACAGGATACACTAGAAGTCCTGGGAAAGTGAAAAGAATAATAGGAAAAACTTAAAAGAAGAAGGTGTTTTTACAAAACCCACAATTTGCAAAACATTATGTGAGGCAAAACATCACTTTCCATCATCCTGAATTCTTCTTCACTTCGGTGTAACAACGTGGTTGCTGTATCAAACTGTGAGGATGCTTGTATTTTGTAGAGAGAGGGAAGATGAGGTCAAGATGGATGGAGCTCAGAACAGTCATCAATTTAAATCTATCAGAGGCTGCAAATGAGACCTGAGCACAGATTTACCTTTGAACATAACAGCAACCCAAAATGGGAATTATATATATATATATATATATATATTTTTATATATATATTTATATTTTATCATATATTTAGGACCAGTTCTGTTATTTTGCAAAGTAGAATTGGCAAAGCATCCAGTATCTAGATATAGAAAAATGATAGAGACACACTTCTAAATGCTTGCAGCTGTAGCTGCAGTAAAAGTTTTTTCTGCAATGTTTTTTAAAGTATAATTTTACAGAATATATTACTGATAGATACAAATGAATTATCGGTAAAAAATGTTAATCATCTTAAAAATCATTGATCGTTTTATTCTTGTGAAAAAGCTGAATGATTACATTTAAGCTAGTATGGTAACAAAATGTGAAAAGGTATAAGAGTATGAGTACTTTCACAAAGGACTATATGTGAACCGACAAACAAGTCTAAGCTAAATACTAAAATTATATCATATTGACTCTGGAAGAGAGGACACTGTGAAACATTAAAGCGCCGGCACTGTTTATGTGGAAGAAAGCAAGCCTCTGGATGTCATCCAATGTGTTTATTTAAAGAACTTTTATTATTTTTAGCCTCAATACTTTGGTAAACATAAAAAATTACTCTATATATCTTTTTAGCAACATAAGAAGAAAATAGTCTTTGTTTTTTCAGTGTCTGTTAGTGTAAATTAATAATTACTAATTAGTTAAGCATACACAAGGGGAGGGGCTGTTGCAATTGTTTCCTTTTAGCAAGAATGTCCTGCACTGAAAAAAACTATCTAGAAATAAGTAAACATGTCTTAAATTAAGTGTATTTACCCTTAATTTGAGTAGGTAAATGAGAAAGTTTGCCAATGGAATTAGTATTTTTACTCTTAAAATAAGATTAATTGGATAACATGAACCTGGAATAATACAATGCAATTGTGCTTTCTTATTTTAAAAGTAAATTGTCTTGTTCCATTGGCAAAAAGTCCCTTTTACCTCCTCAATCCAAGAACAAATGCACTTATTTTAAGAAAAAACTACTTATCTAGATTTGGATTTTTTCCAGTGCGGGTTCACTCCCAGCTGAGGTTCTTTCTGCATGAAGTTTGGGGGGTTTCTCCTTTGCCTGTATCATCTTTTACACAAAATAATTTAAATACATTTGATTAATGAATGAATCAAACAAATTACCTTTTCATTGGCTATATGGTATGATTTCATACAGTGGAAAAAAAACTAACTGTACCTGGTTAAAAACTCACCATAGGAGGAGGAGGAGGTTTCCCCTAAATAACTTCTAGGTTCACACATCTGATTAATTTCATCACTTTTTAGAAGAACCATCTTCTTTCTTGTTTCCTCTTTGAAATCTCCCCTTAAGGCCCTGTAAGTATTTCCCTACTATGCGTATGTCCACTATTTTCAGCAGAACACTGAAAAAAATTTAATTCCACAACCTCCTGCTGAGAGGCAACCTCGATCTCATTATGTATAAACTATGTTGGTACTGGAGAAACTGCTTCTAAATAGTGTTTTATTTTTCTAAAACCAATGTAGAAACTAGCAAGACCCTGAGATTTAAAGGGTGCGCCTATTCACCATGTTTTATTCCATGTGGACTAGCAGGATGTCTATGCCTCACCGGGTCTTTACAGACCAAAAACATGAAGCATCTGCTCCATAGAACAACTTCAGAGTCATAGCATTTGTATTTATGCACTAAAATGCACCCTGCCCAGCTGAATAACACTGAGGAGAAATAATCTCTGGTCAGGGCAGAGGCTGCAAACGCAAACCTATTGCTAGGAATAGTGACAACAATCGGCAGCAATATCATGCATAACAGCGCAACATAGCAAGCCCTGTGCGCCTCAAGCACCACAACAGAGTGGAATTAACCGAATGCTCAAGGCTTGTTTAAATAAACCCATGATGGAAAAAAAATCACTGCAAACATCAAGTCACGGACCGACCGAGCAAAATTGTAAACCAAAACAAGTCTAGAATTTATGAAGAATATAGCCTGGAAGCAACAACCTCTGGCTTTTAGTTATGCATATAAATCTTTTGAGATATTAACAAACAGGGTTGGTATTAAGATGGGGCTATATCAAATGCGATTATATGTGTAAAAGCATCGGCCATTATTGGTTTATTAATACCTCTGAAAGCAATCCTAAGAACAATTTTAAGGCCAACATTAAAGGACAAATCCATAAAATAGAAATAATCAGGGCTGCTTTGATTACTTATCAATTTTCGAGTCTTATTTACCAGACTGTACTCTTCAGTTTAACCCTAACCCTACTATTATTTCATAGATACAGTCTGAAAAATAAAACCAATGTTTGACTGTAATGTTCTTTTACCTAGCAATCAAGCTTAATTTTGTCCTTTCTTTTTTAACTACTAACCTATATATATATATATATATATATATATAT